AAGAGTATTTGATCAACTACATATTTTTAAAGCCCAAAATAATTTTTGCTTTTATTCACACCAGTCTTCTGCATAATTCCAGGCACCCATATTTAATAGAAATTGCAAAAAGATTTTTTAAAAACTGTCGTGTTATCTTAGAGCAATCTGGGTTAGTACCTTTGCAAGCATTGGCACTTGTGGCAAAATTTAACAGTCGATTTTGTTTTCTGTCCAAGTTTTTTGAGGAGTGATTATATTCACTCCTCAGTAAAAGTTCATAAAAGTATGAACGACTACAGTAGCTCACACACTCTTGCTGGTCTCCTCGCTGTGCTTGTGCTGAGCTGCACAAGGGGACTAGCACGTTTCCAGATGGAACCTAGAAACTTTGTTCCCTTTGAATCCTGGTATTGCATTTTGTTGTTGTTATCTTTGGACAATCATTTTACTCAGAAGGAAGATGCTCGTTTTCTTCTATCCTCTGGAATTATTGTGACATAAACATTTTGATTTTCTGGAGGTATTCATTGAAAACTGCTTGGCAGAGGAGAGAAAAAAAAAAAGGCATTCCAAAAAGTCTGTGTAAAAAGAAGAGCTCCAGGAGTCTGTTCAGAATGATTACTGCTTATGGAAGGCCTTCAGGAACAAAGAAAAGCCTAATTTTACCCCAGCCAGCTTACTGCTCGTTGATTTCCATCAGGCTGTTGAGGAGATCCAGTCTCTGGCAGTAGAAGAGGGCCCTGGCGAGCGTCCCCACCGTGGCGCCCTTGGAGCCCTTGCGCATCTCCCACTTGAGCAGCATCTGGTACACCTTCTCCTTCAGCCCGTCCCGCTCGTAGTCGTGGTCGATCTCGTCGATCTCGGGGTTGCTGAAGCCCAGTTTACGAGCACAGTGCTTCCACTGCTTGCCCAGCTTCTCTCTCACCAGGTTCAGATGCTTCTCGGTCAGGACAGTGGTATCGTCTGAGAAAAGACACAAAGGCAAAGAGGATGAACAAACGGCATCCTTCTGAGGTTCCTGCTGCTCCTCTGCAGCTCGTCTGCCCTGCCCCAGCTGGGGGCAGTGTCTGGAGCAGCCCTTCAGTGGCAGGCTCAGGAGTGGGTTTCACAGGGGGAGTTTCACCCAGTGCTGCCAGGGAAGAGCCCCCCAGCCAGAACACGTGCATTCACAGGTCAGCTGCTGGACCTGCTTCTTCAGCTGTGGCTGTCGTGGGCTGTCACTTCAGCATCTGCAAAATTTAAAAGCTCCTTCCTGGAGTTCCTAGACTGATGTATGTGTTTTCATATTCTAAGACAGCATTGTTTACTTAGGAACACACAGGGGTAGTTTAATCCAGTACTGAGTGACAAAAATGAAACTTAAAAATCCTCTGACTTCTACCTGAACAAAGGGGTTGTGGCCCCAGGCTGTCAGTGCCCAAGAAACATTTGGACAATGCTCTGAGACAGGTAGCTGAACTTTTAGGCCTCCTTGTGTAGTGTCAGGTGCTGGACTTGGTGATCCTCATGGGTCCCTTCCAGCTCTGGATACTCAGTGATTTAAATTGTCAGGTGAGCACCACCAATCCTAACCTTGTTTTTGCCAACCTGAGTGGTGTTATTCCTCCTCTCCTTGATGCCTGTACTCCTGTTCTTGTACCTGGTGTTTCCCAAGACACTACAGGAGATGTGGGGCATGTGGTATTACAGAAGAGCATCGGCACAAACCCTTCCTAGTTTTAGGCACTCTGAAGCAGGCCACAGAAAAGGCCCCAAACAGCATCGTGTCAGGTTTCAGAGAAAGCTGTGCTGCTTCCATACACTCCAAACCAAACACTTCTCAGATACATGGGGAGAATACAACCAAACCAGGGAGAAATTTCTCTTACCAAATATACCCTTTGCTTTGTAATCCATGTAAACTGCTTCTGTAGCAGCAGCAGAAGTGCCAACGTGCTGATTCTGCTCTTCAATCTTCATGTGGTTGTTGGATCCAATCTGAATTCCAGAACTGTTACTTATGTTGTACTTGATCGTATCTACTGTGCAAGGGAATGTCATACAATTGTATAAACAACCACATAGGATTCAAACTGTCAAGAAGCAACATAAAGAGGAGGGAGATTCTGCTAATAAAGGGAGTGATTAAATGGCTTTGTTGCATTTAATGTAGAAATGGCCATTTATGGCAACTGTGAGTGTATTTTCGTTACGCAGCGTGACACACACCTACTTCAGGAGCAGCCCACCCTTTCCTGTGCTAGGACAAAGCACCAGGCCCGACAGGCTGGGGTCTACTAGACTGTGAATAATGTTCCCTGTGCTCTAGGAATGTGCAGTAGCAGCTCCACTTGCTGTTGGCTAACAGCTTCAGGAGGTTAGTGTTCACTCAGCCGTGCTTTCTTTTCAATCTTAAGGCCTTCCTTCTGCCCCTCAGCCTCACTTCCCACAGCTCTGATTTCAAACTTCTGGGAGACTACAAAAAATAACTTCTAATTGCTCAGAAGGTTTCTGTACTGCACGTTCCACTACGCTGTCTGGGTGGCAGCTCTCTGCTTCATGATGTATTTCACCCTTGCTATCCAGGAGTACATCCTTCCATCCTATCTATTTTCACAATCAATCGTAGTGTGATAATAACTCAGTGTTTGTCCCAACAACTTTCTCTCTTTTTATTTTTTCTCCCCTGTTCTGTACTTCTGGTTCTAAGGCAAGATTAGAATGGTTTCTGAGATAACTTAAAAAACCCTACTACTTTATTTTAAGGTCTGAATCTTCAGCAACAAAAGTCATGCACCAATTCACAGCTAAACTGTGTGCACCTCTGAGACCTTGGATCTGTGGTTTACCTGTATGTCATTAAACACCTCATTTGGTGTCTTTTGCTTACAGTTGTCTGATTTCTGCACATAACATGAAAATAAAGTGACTTCTAGTCATGTCAGGTGACCTCAATTTGTAGTCTCTTGACAATGTTTTCTGGATGCTGTTTGGATAATTGTCCATTAGGTGTTCTAACTCCTAGTTTAAATGGCAAATAGCACGACCTGGGTCTAAAACTGAAGTACTGATTCTTAAGGTGCTACATGAAGCTCTGTATTGCATCACCTAAAACGATGGTTAGCTCACAGACATCCTTGTTACATGCAACTGCAACGTGGAGTGTGGCAATCTACAGTCACATATGGGAATCTGACTAAAGGCATTTAACATTTGTTAACCTGAAACTGCTAGTCAGAAGTATTTGTGTAGGTGTGATTAGTTTCTAGAAGTTACACGAAAGGAAAACATTTTATCATGTGGCAAAACATTATGATTCGTTTTTCCTTTCCTTTTTTTTTTTTTTTTTTTGAGGTGAGGGACCCAGGAAATAAGTTCATTTTTAGCTAAAAGATGAAGAAATGTCAGCTAGAGGTTTCTATTGAAAACCCAGAGCAGGAAAGGACAGGAGTCCTAAATGCACGTGTGGTTCAGGAGCTGGGCAGAGTCACAGCAACTTGACATGTCATCTAACAAAGGGATTGGCTTAAGTGTACAGGAGTTCTTACAATGCCTTCTGGTTTTTTTTTTTTTTTCTTTTTAACACAAAATATGTTGTCCTTGATCCATCAAATACACATTTAATGGCACGTACAGGTCCTGCTAGAGAAAGGAAGTAGTTGTACATGCTGGTAACTTCAGCTATGGTTAGAGGTATTAAGCAATAACACAAATGTGAAGAGTTTTTTGCTTTCCTGATCAGGACACAGCACACAGCCTGGCTAGCAGGGCAGGTGAAGGCTACAGCAGCTACAGTACTTACCACTGCTTGTTCTGGGGCCAGTACCAAAATATGTAAAAGTTCCACTACTGAAAGAAACAGAATCCTTCTGACCTAAAAGACAGGGGGGGAAAAAATGCCAGACACATTACATAAATGAAAAAGCAAACGTACAGCTGGGGCACGGGGCAGCACTGTGTCTCTGCTGGCAGAGCTGGGCCTCCCAGGCCAGGGCAGTACCCACGGGATGCCCGTGGGTGAGCTCCCCAGGTCGTGGTGGGGTGGTGAGAGTGACTGGGTTGGCCACCCAGCAGGTCAAGGGAAGCTCTGCAATGCAGCCATCTGCTCCTCAGGCCACACCACTGTGTGCAGTCACCCTACAAGAACTGCTCTCTTCTTTCAAACAGAAGATTTCACTTTATTGGTGATGTTGACAGGTCTAATCCCTGCCTACTGATCTGCCAGCTCTCAAGATTCATTTCAGTAAATCAGCTCCCATGAACAACTGATCACAGCCGCCTCTACATAAATTTAACAGAGTAGCACCTCTGTGGCATTCCGCCTGCAAAGAGTGAGGGATCCTTGATCTTCTTGGGAGATAGTCTGAAAAACAATGCTGTGCTAAAAATACCCAGTATTTAGTAGGAGCAGGCTGATCTATCTCATGCTACCTCTAGTTCCTAAAAGTTACGTCTTACAGACCTCTAGTGACCATTGATTTTTGCCAGTACTTGCTGTTCTCTTCCTTCCTTGTCTCCACCCCTTTCCACTCCACAGCTCTCTAGCAAACACTGACAGAAACTCCCCATCAGCACCAGGCAGTCTCAGGAGAAACCAGTTACGAGCCTCAGCTCCTTGTTGGCTCCACAAGCTCAGGACCCTCCTACTTTGCTGCCAATCAAGCTAAAAATTCCCATCTATGTCCTGAAATGCTACAAAGGTTGTTTCTGCAGGAGCAGAACCTGTGGTGTGAATGCTGCATTTCTGAGAGTCCAAAGTTCTCTGCTTTCCCCAGAAGAGCTGGTAGCAGCTCTCAGTTCTGGCAGCTGCTGCAGCAGTATCTGCTGCCTGCTCTGACTTGGTGGGCAGCTGAAGGATTGGGGTCTGGTGCTCCTCATTGGCACTGAAGCTTCAGAAATGGCTCACTTGAAGTTAACTGCCTGAAATCAGTGAGATCAGGCCTCAGGAAGTCCAAGCTAGAGCGTTTCAGTGACCTGAGTTAACTTCAGGTAAACACAGAGGACTTCACAAGACAGCTGCTCTGCTACAGCAGAGGCCAATCTGCTGGCAACAAGCAGGCTGCTGTTAGGTAAACTACAAAGCACTCCTGGCTGCTCCATTTCTAGGGCCCAGGTGTGCCCTGAGAAGCACAGGGGCAGGGGAGGAGCAGTCTCACCTGTGTCTGCGTCGGTGGTCTTGGGATACCAGTTTGTGCTGGCCTGTGACTGGCCCGGGCCGGATTCCGGCACAGGAGGTTTACTGAGGCTGAAGGTACCGGCTGCACTCAATCCATAGAGACCCTCTGTGCTCCCCATGAGGAGACTGTTAGGGTTTGGCTTGTAAAAAGCATCTCCATTTCCTAGATTAGGTGCTGTTGGAACCAGCGGGGGCCAAAAACAGGGGGTAGTGTTTGGTCCTGTTGTGTCGGCTCTGGGGTACAGCTCGCTCCACTGGGGAGCAGGAGTTGACTTTGCAAAGGGGTCGTAGGAAACCCTTCGTCTCCTCTCCTCCTCTCTCATTTCGTGTGTGTAGGCTACAGAGGGAACTGCTTTATCCTCCCAGCTCCCCGCCACGTGGTAGTTCAGTTCACGCTGAAGTTTTCTTTCCAGATCATCAGCAGACACAAAAGAGGTCTCACAGCTCTCCACGGGCTGGTTCTCGGGGGAGGCAGCAGCCAGAGCTTCGTTAACCTGACTGCTCGCAGGGCCCTGAGAGCTGCCTACAGAACTGGGCACATCTGAAAGAGGAAAATGAAATATTTTCAGTACTTCCAAACGCAAGTGTGTGTAACTTGTTGTGAAGAGGGTAGAATCTGTTAATCTACCTGTAATATTATGGTAATATATAAAAAGGTGTGAGCACAACATTCCTTCCAGCACAATCTGTGTTTTAATTTACAGAAGGCCCCTATTGAGCAGCAGTACAGTTTTTTTATCTAGGAAGTGCAGACTTAACCCATCAGTGTCAAAATCTCACTTAGTCAAGTGGTGTCAGAATTCACTGCATGCTCTGCTGATATTAACATCGAGTTCTCAGCCCCTGGAATGGTTCCTGGACGTGTTTGTAGGGTCTGATTCAATAGTGTGCCTTCACTGGCCTTAAGTGGAGTTTAATTAGTGCAAAATTGGAGTATTGCAGGGTGGAAAAGAACGCCAGTGGAATAGCTGTTACTTCATACAACACAAATAATTTGTCATTAAAGTTGTGTTTGGAAATGATTATGTAAAATATCCCATCTGGGTATTCTGTGATGAAACCTTTTTGTCTGGTTTATTCTTTCATAGTCCCAAAGAATACATCTTTACAAGTGACACCCACTAGCTAAGGCAGTTGTTGTCATCTACATCTTTCACACTAATCCTCACTCTCAAAGGACACACTACTTCAGTCACGAGCTAGGCTGAGTTGTGGCATTCCAAGGCTAAACCAGAATGTCAAAATCTGCTCGTTACTCCTTGTTCCTGTGTTCTAAGGGTAGGGCTACAGGTGCTTTCTTTAGAGTTCTGAAAGCTTCACAGCTGTCTAGACAAGCTTGTACATTGGCTAAAGCCAAGGGCTCTCCCAGAGCACTGTAGCCTGGAATAAAGTGTATGTACATCCTTCTGTTTAGCTCAGACAACGCCAGTGAACTGGTTTTGGGTGGCTTTGCTTTTTTGCCAAACTACACGAGTTCTGTCATTAAAAGCAGTTCCTTTTGGTGGCTGTATAACAGTACAGCTTCACTCTGACTTGCTCTGCTGCTTTTGTCACTGCTGCTGGAGAGGGAGTGGCAGGAATAAGCGAATACAGACATAACCCATCACAAGTGACAGCTATTAGCAGTTAACATAAATTACATGGCATCCGTTCTCCAGGGCAAGCCCGAGAGGTACCAACAGACCCTGTGGGGCTCCTCCCCTGCTGCTGCCTGAGGAACACCCTCTGGCTGGAGGAAACAGCCTGACTTTGGCAGGCTGTCCAGCCAGTACCTGTCTGCAGCCTAGGTGCCCACTACAGCTTCTGTACCTGAACCCCAGGGTGCCTGCTCTCTGCTCCCCCACAAACACAGCCCTGGGGCTGCTCTGCCAAGTCCAGCACTTCTACTCTTGGGGCAAGTGCAGCTTTGGGGAAGATTTATCACTTGCATATTATACTTTAACGTTATCCCTTTAATAATGTCTTTCAAATGGTGTAAGCAAACTTAGCAGGATTTTATTTCTACTGAATTTGATATTGCTTGTAAGTCAGCATTGCAAATACGACCCTATACCATTGGCCACTTCAGTAAAGGAATTTCAGATACATGACTATAAAACTGTGACTATGCCATCATGTATTATTGAGACAGCTCTGTAAAACCATGACACAGGCAACTCATCCAAGATTTGATAGTAACATGAGAAAAAGGAGAAAAAAAAAATCTCAGATTCCATAGAGAATGAGGTCATAAACCAAGGAATATGTTCTAATTATGCATGCTGGTTGTATTTGGAGCATTCATAAGGAAGGCTGGAGTGGGAAAAAGGAAATCTGTCATGAAATTAAAGCCTGTAGACCAGGCAGTTGGCATGACTAATGGGATGGGAAGAAAGATCCAGTATGAGAAGTAGTTATCAAAGTGATCACTGAAAAAAAAAATCAGCACTATACAATTTCTGGCATGGGAGAGGAAAGCAGAAGAGTGTAAAACGGGTTTGAAGTGTAGATTGTGGAAAACTGGAAGCAGTTAGTGTGACTTTTGGGAGCAAATTTCACCTTTTCAGTGGTTACAGTTCTCTGTGAAGTGCAGACTCCTGGAGTCTCCTGGTGACTCCTGGCAGGCTGGCTTACTGGGCACGTGTACACGGCTCTGCTTCGGCAGAGCCACGCGCTAGTGAGCGACTCACCTGCTCTGAAGCACAGACTCATGGAGTCTCCTGGTAACCCCGCCTGGCAGGCTTGCTTACTGGGCATGTGTACACGGCTCTGCTTCGGCAGAACCACGCGCTAGTGAGCGACTCACCTGCTTGGCCATTGCTGGCATCTTCTGCTACAGCATCTATCTGAAGGGACTCCATCCTAGTCAGCACCTCCCTGGGCTCGGGCCACGTACTCTGCAGGAAGCAAGAGCAAAGGATGAAGTCAGAGGGAAGAGCTCCACCAAAGGGAGTACCTGCTGCTACAGACGGGCGACCCCTCCCCTCGGCGCAGGGCCCGGGTGCCGCTGCAGGACGCGATGCTCCCAGCCAGCCAAAGCCCCCCCTGCTCTCCAGGGGTACTGGGGTGGCCTTGGCTTGTCCCACAGCGACCCGCTGGAGCCAGCAGAGGAGCCAGCAGAGGAGCCAGCAGAGGAGCCAGCCTTGCCCAGGGCTGCTGGAGGGGACAGGCAGGGG